TGAGTGGCACCGACAAAAGTAGGCCCTGGTACACGTGTCCTGCCTGCTGGTTGAAGGTGCCAGACCCGGGTACCGATTCTTAGCACCCCAGCAACGCAGAGACGCGTCCAGAGCCCGTAAAAAAAGAGAGCTTACCGCGTTGTGGGTGCGTAGAGGTGGTGGCTTTGTTGATGAAGCGAGACGTCACGCTGTGACTCGCTTTGTCATACTCTCTCTCTCAAACACACATCGCCCCTAACTCCTCACCTTATCATGGTTGGCCTTGCCTTGACGAAACGCCGCGCCGGAAATCTCAAATCTGCTAGCTCTTTATCGCGGCTGGTCCAAATCACCCGCACCAGGCGTACCGCTGGTGGCCGATCTCGGACGGAAACAGAAACGCTGACCCCGGCGCAAATAAGGGTGCGGAAGGATGCAGAGGAGCAGGAGGAGGCGGCGCGGCGTGCAGGTGAGTTTATTATCAGAAAAACACGTCCCAGCGACTCGCTAATTTAAAAACACAGGGCTGACTGAACAGCAGCGCCGCGAAGAAAACGCGCAGCGCGACATCGCAGACCCGTACGACGCCGACGACGTGGGGTGGGAGGACTACCAGGAGGATGTTCTCCGTGGGCATACTACCGCCGATATCAGCCACGCAGGGGAGGCCGTGACTGATGAAGAAGTGGAAGATGCAGAGGAATCTCTGCTGGAGCAACTGCGCACGCACCACCGGTGCGTCTGCTGCTTTCTTCTTCTTCTTAACGTTGCTGACCTACTCGTAGGACGTTATACGGGCGCCGACGCGATCACCGTACGCGAACGAATCGCACCCAAGTCCTCGTCGACGCATTTGCCGTGCAAATGGAGGGGATGGCCGACGCGTACCTCGAATGGTCACTCACCACCGCAGACTCTGGGCTCGCGAGCCTTTACATGCACCCCGAAGATGCCGTTGTGCAGGAAATGCACCACGTATACGTGGTGGATTTATTCTGCAAGTAAACTCATTGTTTTCTCCCTTGCTTGTACTTACCTTGGATTTTTAAAATAGCGGCCTACTACGCAGACGTTCCTATAACCAGCGGCGACCGCTTCGTCGCCTCCGCCCACGTTCGCCAAGGGCTCATGCCCGTCGCGCCCTATTTTCCCACCGTCGTCATTACGGTGCGCGCGCTGGAGGTTTTTCGTGTCACCCAGCTCCGCTGTCCGCGCCTCGGTGTTCAGCCCTTCGTGCGAGCGCTCTGCGATCTACACGGGATCTCTCCCCGCAGCTACCTTGCTACGCAGTTCTACGTCGCATTCGACGTATACCTGGCAATTCGCGCGGTGGTGGACAAGCGCGTGCAGACGGCGCTTGGTCGTGATGCCCCCGATTGGCGGCTCAAGAACGCCTGCCCCTCGTGCCTCTACAAACTCGAGGGCGAGGTGGAAATCCCCCTGCCGTTGCTCGCCACCTTCGACGGCAACAACTCCCTCAAACGGTTCTGGCGGCGGGAGCGGGAGGAGGTACGCGACGATGGCACAACAGTGCCCGGGGCCTCAAAAGAGCGCCTTGATAGTCGGGTCGCCCCAGGGGATTACTATCTCCCACGGGCAGAGGTCGATACATGGGCAAAGGAAGGCCTGGACGATTTGATGAAGGAGTTCGTACCTGGGTCGGAGTTGGCAGATGAAGGAGATGGGTGCACGGAGCGCTGGCAGAACATGCGCGAGGATGTCACCACGCGTGCGTACGGGATGTACGACGAGACGGGTTTCTTCCCTGCCCTCTGCAGGCACGGGTTCGTGCTCATCGTCGCCGATATGGTGAAGAGCGGTGAATTGTAAGTCCCATCCTCTCTCTTTTTTGTTTGAAGACAAAATAACGGCGCACACAGGGCCAAGTATGGCTTCGCGATCACCGCGCACCTGATCCGCGTGCTGGGGCAGATAGGCATAGGGTACGACATAGGCTGCAAATTCGGCAAGATGGTGCGGATGCACCCTGCCCTCTGGAAGCTCGCAGCCGACAACAATTTCAAAGCCCTTGTTGGCGCCTTCCATGGCCACGCCCACAACTGCCGCTGCCAGCTCTGCAACCTCACGACGTACGTGACAGGCATGGGCCTGGAGGAACTTGAAGAATGCGAATCGTTCTTCTCCAGGTCCAACGCCCTGGCCTCAACTACCCGTTACGCGACTGCGTTCCACCGTCACCAGGCCATCACCACATATCTGAAGCACGCAGATACGGTAGATGCATACCAAGGGCTTAGTGAGTCACTTTTCTTTATTCTTTTGACATACACGGTGCTAACAATCCTCCCGTAGCGCTGATCCTCGCCAACAAATACCGCCGGGCTCTGAAGATCAAGCAGACTCTCCCCCTGCTTCGAGAGACGATGGCCGCGCTGGGCGTCCCGAATCGCTCTGTCTTCGAGACATGGCTCGAGAGGGAGAAGGAGTATCTCGCCTCCTTGTCAAAGGAGCCGGTCGAGGAGACCTTGCAGATGGAGTATTACCAAAAGTTGGTCAACCTTCAAGACCACGGGTAGGTACTTTCCCTTTGCTGCATGGATTTGACTGACGGACTTCACAGGGAACGGCTTGACATCATACGCCAGGTGGAGCTACCTATTTTGCCCGCGGAGACGGAGACAACCTACGCAGCGTCAGCAGCGCAGACACGGCGGATCGAGACGCAACGGCGCCACGCGATGGAGGTCTACTCCAAGACGTTGGCGGCCGTGCAGGACCTCGAGCTGCGCCTTGGGATCCAGGACCGCTGGCGCCCGGACGACAACGACTGGGTGGCGGCGGCCACAATGCTCAAGAACAGGCGCTATCAGCGTGCAATCGACGAGCTTGAGGGCTTGATCGTCTCGCGAATGTTCGAGCTGACAAAGGCTAACATGTCAGACACAGGTGCGTCGCATGCTTACCTTCCTTTGCTTGATTCTGACAGATGTCGAAGGGTACAAGCTGCGAAAGCACATTGCCAAAGCACTGCAAGCACGCTCAAAAGGCGTCAAGACCGCGCTCGACCGATACAACGACGCTGCGGCCGCAATGCTTCCCCCCCGGACCCAGCTCTCCTGGGAGCAGATTGTCGACTACGCCTTCCTCGCGGACTTCGACCTTCTTCGCGAGGGGCGGGAGGACATACGCACCGAGCCGTGGGCACAACCAGCGGGTCGCCTCGCGATGGACCAACACTTCAAGCTGCTCCGCGCTGACGAGGAAATTGCGCGCCTCAACCTCGAGATCCCAAGGCTGGTGACGCACATGGCGGATGAGGAGGCCTTCCTCATCTACCATGCGCAACGCCTCGCAGACGAGGGGAGTGCATCGCTAGCGCACCAGGTGGCACTCCACCGGATGGAGCGGGGACGCTTCAATGCACTCCACATGGAGCGGCTGGTGAAGCTGAGCAAGGAGCCTGGCTTCAGCGCCTCCATCCTGCCGGGCGTGAGCGTCGACAAGTCGCGCCGAGTGCCTGGTCAATCCCCACAACTCGATCCCGACGTGGATATGCCTGACGCGCAGACACCTCCCCGCCCACCAGCCACCGCAACACCCCCCCTGGAGGAAGATGAAGATGATGAGGGTGATGTGGACGTCGACGTCCTGGCAGACGCCTTCGAGCACATCTTGAGCGTCGCGCATGATGCGTGTTAATACTAGTATACTTGCAATTGATGGACTTGTCATGTAAAGTAGTGAATTTTGAGGACTTGTACTTGCATTTGTATGTATATTAATGATGATATGGACTCAACTTGTTGAAAGGGTGAGGTGGTATTTTTTGCATGAATTTAGGTGCATTTTTGAGGCCAGCGGGGACTTGTGCGGCGGCGCTGGGGGCGGATTTGATGGCGCTGATCGCTGTTGATCGCGCGCCGGTGGCCATGCCGTCCTTGATGGCAACAGTAAGGCGGGATCTTAAATAGCTATCGGTATTGATTAATTATTGCTATTGCTATTGCTATTTAGTGCTATTAGCGGTAGAACTAGGCATAATTAACGGCTGCGCGTGATATACCGCAAACGACTTAAATAAGAGGTGGATAAGCACCACTTCTCCACCTCTTACTACTGGGGTACTGTGGGCTTTACAGGTGCGCTCGGCTGTAATTTTACTGCATAAACACAGCTTTTATAAAGTAAGAAAGAGACCCAGTGGTGAAATGATCACGCCTGCATTCCATTTGTGTCCATCGGTATATAAGCAGGAGATCCCGGTTCGACTCCGGGTTGGGTCATTATCTTCTAGCTGCCCTTTTTAATTCTAATTCTTCGCTCACATGGAATTTTGCTGCATAAAACAAGGTTTTATAAGGTAGAAAAGACACCCAGTGGTGAAAGGAATCACGCCCGCTTCCGTTCATAAAAATTCGAAAAATCAGTCAGTGGGAGCTCCCGGTTCGACTCCGGGTTGGGTCATATCTCTTTGGTAGTCCTTTTTAATTTTAATTTCGCGCTCACTTGAAATTTTGCTACATAAATACAGCCGTTCATGGTAGGGAGGAAGACCAAATGGTGAAATGAATCACGTCTGCATTCCGTATATTCTGCTAGATTGCGTGAGCAGGAGCTCCCGGTTCGAGTCCGGGTTGGGTAATGGGCGATATACCATGACTTTTTTTTTGCACCCTATTTCCCCACAAAACCCAAATAAATACAGCTGTCCACGCTCGGTAAAGAGACCCAGTGGTGAAATGATCACACCTGCATTCCATGATTGTGTGTACCTGTATGTAAGCAGGAGATCCCGGTTCGAATCCGGGTTGGGTCATGGCGGAAATCCCTAACCCTTTTTGCTCTACACATAATTTCCTACATAAATACAGCTTTTATAAGGTAGGAAAGAGACCTTGTGGTGAAAGGAATCACGTCTGCATTCCGTATATTCTGCTAGATTGCGTGAGCAGGAGATCCCGGGTTAGGTCATGATTCTCCTTCCATTTCCCTTTTTAATTCTAATTCGTCGCTAACATGAAATTTGCTGCATAAACACAGCTTTTATAAGGTATGAAAGAGACCCAGTGGTGAAAGGAATCACACCTGCATTCCATGACTGTGTGTATCTGTATATAAGCAGGAGATCCCGGTTCGAATCCGGGTTGGGTCATGGCGGAAATCCCTAACCCTTTTTGCCCCACACATAATTTCCTACATGAATACAGCTGTGCAGGGTATGAAGGAAGACCCAGTGGTGAAACGAATCACGCCCGCCTCTCTTGAGGTTTGGTACCACAATTGTCAGCGGGAGCTCCCGGTTCGACTCCGGGCTGGGTCATGCATTGAAATCCAACACTTTTTTATTGCCCCGCACATAAATTTGCCTGCATAAACACAGCTATTCATGGTAGGAAAGAGACCCAGTGGTGAGGGGAATCGCACCTGCATTCCATGATTGTGTGTATCGGTATTATAAGCAGGAGCTCCCGGTTCGAGTCCGGGTTGGGTCATGGGCTGTATACCATGACTTTTTTGCACCCTATTTCCCCACAAAATCTCAAATAAATACAGCTGCTCATGGTAGAAAATAGACCCAGTGGTGAAAGGAATCCCACCTGCCCTGCATAGGCTGAGCGTATTGGCATATAAGCAGGAGATCTCGGTTCGATTCCGGGTTGGGTCGTATATCTCTAGTAGCTCTTTTTAGTTTAAATACGTCGCTCGGCTGTAATTTTGCTGCATAGATACAGCTTTTATAAGGTAGGAAAGAGACCCAGTGGTGAAATGAATCACACCTGCATTCAGTATAACATGCTTCCAGAGGTTAGCAGGAGATCCCGGTTCGAGTCCGGGCTGGGTCATCAGTCTGTCTTCTTCCTTTTTAGTTTAAATACGTCGCTCGCCTGTAATTTTACTGCATAAACACAGCTTTTATAAGGTATGAAAGAGACCCAGTGGTGAAATGATCACACCTGCCCTGTATAGCGCTTTCATTTATTGTTGGCAGGAACTCCCGGTTCGAATCCGGGTTGGGTCATGATTCTCCCTCCAGACCCCCTTTTTAATTCTAATTCCTCGCTCGGCTGTAATTTTGCTGCATAAACACAGCTTTTATAAGGTAGGAAAGAGACCCAGTGGTGAAATGAATCACACCTGCATTCAGTATTATGCTCCAAACGAAGGTGCAGCGGGAGCTCCTGGTTCGAGTCCGGGCTGGGTCATATATCTTCCGTCCCCCTTTTTAATTATAATTCCTCGCTCGGCTGTAATTTTGCTGCATAAAACGAGGTTTTATACCGTATGAAAGGGACCCAGTGGTGAAAGGAATCACACTTGCATTCCATGATTGCCGTCGTGGTATATAAGCAGGAGCTCCCGGTTCGAATCCGGGTTGGGTCATATATCTCTAGTAGCTTTTTTTAGTTCTAATTCTTCGCTCGGCTGTAATTTTGCGGCATAAATACAGCTTTTATAGGGTAGGAAAGAGACCCAGTGGTGAAACGAATCACGCCTGCATTCAGTATTATGCTCCAAAGGAAGGTGCAGCGGGAGCCCCCGGTTCGAATCCGGGCTGGGTCATATATCTCTAGTAGCTTTTTTTAATTTTAATTCGTCGCTCACATGGAATTTTGCTGCATAAACACAGCTTTTATAAGGTAGGAAAGAGACCCAGTGGTGAAACAAATCACGCCTGCATTCAGTATTACGCTCCAAACGAAGGTGCAGCGGGAGATCCCGGTTCGAATCCGGGCTGGGTCATATCATTTTGGTGGTATGTGCCCTTTTTAATTTTAATTCGTCGCTCGGCGGTAATTTTGCGGCATGAAACGAGGTTTTATAAGGTAGGAAAGAGACCCAGTGGTGGAATGAATCACACCTGCATTCAGTATCACACTCCAAGCGAAGGTGCAGCGGGAGCTCCCGGTTCGAATCCGGGCTGGGCCATACAGTATTTAACCGGGAAGCGAAACGCTACGTAGAAGCGAAACACCGGCTTTTTCCCGGATCCCAGGCATCCGATGGGCCCCAGTTTTTGTGAGAGGATAGTTAGCCATGAGAAATGGCTCATATTAAAAGGAATTGCGCAAAAAGACTCTGTAGAACCTGTGGCAGATCGCTTTGTGTTTGCTATTTTTTGGCCTATTTTGTTGGATATAATCCGTCAGAGGCACGGTATTTCGGGCCCGCAATTCCTCCTGCAAACGCGTGAACTGGGAGTTTTCAAGGTCGTAGAACACGAATATAAACACCCCTTGGGCTGGATTGCAACGAACGGCGGCCCACAGGTTATTTTGCAGTGTTTCGCTTCCACGTGATTCTGCAAAATCGGATGTTTGTAGAAGATGGTCTCATTCTCAATCAAAACACAACATTTCCCTATAAAACTATATATTGCCAGGTAGCCCTGACACATCTCTATCGATCTATGAAGACATCCCCAACAACTTTATGCAATCTCGGCCCGGGAATTGCGAATTCGCTTGAGCGTTTCGCTTCCCGGTTAATTACTGTATATCTCTAGTAGCTCTTTTTAATTTTAATTCCTCGCTCTGCTGTAATTTTGCTGCATAAATACAGCTTTTATAAGGCAGAAAAGAGACCCAGTGGTGAAACGAATCACACCTGCCTTGCATAAACATGCTGGCAGAACATGTTGGCAGGAACTCCCGGTTCGAGTCCGGGCTGGGTCATGATTCTCCCTCCAGACCCCCTTTTTAGTTCTAATTTGTCGCTCACATGAAATTTTACTGCATAAAACGAGGCTTTATAAGGTAAGAAAGAGACCCAGTGGTGAAACGAATCACACCTGCATTCCGTGTATTCTTCGAGATCGCGTGAGCAGGAGCTCCCGGTTCGAGTCCGGGCTGGGTCATGAAAGCTATTTCTAGACTTTTTTTGATTACCTCTGCACATAATTCTTTCCGTTCCCCTTTTCATTTAACGTCGTTCGCACGGAATTTTGCTGCATAAAACCACGTTCCACAGGGTAGGAAAGAGACCTAGTGGTGAAAGGATCACACCTGCCTTGCATGTTGTTAAATTGTTTCGCGAAGATGTTGGCAGGGGCTCCCGGTTCGACTCCGGGCTGGGTCGTATGTTGGTGGTTTGTAAGATTTTTTTTGTTACGGCTCCAGTGGATGTTTTTTGGTGCGTGGAGGACGTGGGGGAGACGGGTTGAAATCGATACTGTATGTTGTATAGACTTTAATTGGGGTGACTGGGAGGAATATTAATGAAGGTATCGAGGAAGCGTGATGAGGGTAATTGAAGCAATTGAATGAATTGTTGGATGAGGAGATAATTAACGGGTTAATGAATGAGATATGATGTGAGTATATTGTATATTGTGTATTGTATAGCCGTTTCCACCGCGGGTGGGTGCAATTGCGTTGCTGCGCGGATGCATACAGCGTCATTCTGTTTTTATTCTGGGTGTGATGCTGGACTCGCAGATTGCAGAATTGGAGAACACGAGAAGGCGAGTGCGAGCAGCACCGTGCAAGGGCACACGGCCACTCGAGGCCGCAGATAGACTCCGAGTCGAGGACGGCAGATCGGATGACGCCAAAATCTATTCTTGGCCCAACTACGTCTATTCATAATCCTATTTTTATCCGGGCTAGAATAGACCCCATTGGCAGATGGAGGGATGGGTATCAGCTACGTAGGTGCGGATCCGGAGTTGGGCGGATGGAGGTGCGCATGGTGCCAAGGATCCGCGAGGTGCGAGGCAGGGTGAAGGAAGGGGTGAGGGAGTAGGCAAGGCAAGGAGGGAGGGAGGCAAACGTGCGGTGGAGGATCGCCGAGAACGAGGAGTGATCGTAGAGAACCTCAGAGAACCGCGGAGGTAGAGCGGCGAGGTCGGAACACCTTGCATGGCCGCAGAACGTCAGAAAGACTGCTGGCAGTGGTCCAGAAATACCGTAGCATAAAGTATGCGCCGATGCCCGAGGAAAGAGAGGTTAACGAGAGGGGTGCCATAGATTACGCGAGATGCGCAGCAAAAATACGCAATATGCAAGCTTTCGAGGGCGCCACCGTCGTTTCCCTAACAGCGTGGAGCGAGTGGCGCGTTTAAATTCGAATATTCGAATTTTCTGTGACGTCGCGGTATGCTTGCCTGCCCGCCCGTCTAACGTCCTGGTCCCCGTCCTCCTCGTCGGTGGAGGCAGATGTCGGAGGGAAGGATCCTGGAAGGCCCGGAAGGGGATACGGGCGTGCCGAGCGGCATCTAAATATAACTCTCTTCTAAGTTCTCCCCTCATCCTCTGTGTCCGAAAATAGCCTTACCCTCTGCTCGTTTTAAATTTGGTTGGACAGCGATGGGCCACCTGACCCTTGTTTTGACCCTATTCACGCTCCTTGTTTCCTACGCTCACTGCGAAGACGATGCGCTTGACACCGACACCGACACTGAGGCCGACGCTGCTGCTCGCCGCGCTGGGCCTGCTCGCTGCTGTCCGCGCGCAGGACCGCACCACCGAGGCGGGCGAGGCCACCATCCAGGGTCTGTCTTTCCTCCCTCCTTCGACCTATGCATGTAAGTTGACCCAAAACAATGCAGACCCGACGGAGGAATGCGTGGCGTACTCCTACGCCCCCGTCGTCGCCGCGAAAGCCAACTTCCCCGTCATCTGGCAGCCCATCACGAGCGTGCCCACCAACGACACCGTCGGGCGCGCAAAGTTCCTCGCCATGAATTCGAGTATCCCGAATATCCCCGTCAAGGGCACCATGGCGGGGGATTTCAGCAACTTTACGCCGACGTATAGCGCGACGGACCCTGACTGCTGGTGGACGTTCCACCAGTGCGTCACGCCCAAGTTGACTGGGCTCAATATGGATATCGCGAATGTGCCCGAGGTGAGGCTTGTTTTTTATTGAATAGAAAGAGAGACGGGAGCTGATATTGGAATGGGATGTGTAGCCGAGGACGCTGGGATACGGCTTCGATGACGGCCCGAACTGCTCGCACAATGCGTTCTACGACTACCTCACCGAGCAGAATCAGAAGGCTAGTGAGTGTCGCGTCTCCTTCTCTCTATCTGTCAAGTCTGCTAAATGCTAACGCCACTGCCCAGCGATGTTCTTCATCGGCTCGAACGTCCTCGACTGGCCGCTCGAGGCGCAGCGCGCCGTCTCGGACGGGCACCAGATTTGCGTCCGTGAGTACGCTTCCTTGCTTCCTTTCTCCCGCCCTTGTCTTCCTTCCTTTTTTGGTTTTTTTGGGTTGTTTGTCATGGTCTACCCTCCCACTCCCCGCCCTCCACCTTCTGCGTCCGTCCTGCGTCCTGTGCTTCGCCACCTCCTTCCTTCCCCGCACTACTTTCCGCCTCGTCCCCCCGCTCTCTTCTCTCCCCTCCCTCCCGGCGCCAGGCTCGCTTTCGCCCTGTCCTGCGTCTTCCTCCCTTCTGCCTCCTTCTCCGTCCTTCCCCGCCCATCCATCTTTTCGTCCTCCATTCATTCATTCATCCATCCCTCGTCCTTACGCCGCGTCCTCCTATGCTGCGCCCACACGCCGTTCCTCCCTTCTCAGCCCCTCGTCTGCCTATCCTCCCTCGCCCCTCGTCCGTGCATCCTCCCGCCCACACCCCTCCATCGGCGTCCCGTCTCGTCACATCCCCTTGTCCTCGCACCCGCCCACCATCCACTCTTTCCTTCGCCACGCGCACCTTCTGCTCCTTTCCTTCCTTCCCGCCCTCCCGCATGCCTTCCTCCGCCTCCCTTCTTCCATGCCCGTACTTCGTCTTGCACCCCGGGCTCTTCTGCGTTCTGCCGCTGTCCGCCCTTCTTTCTCTTCCACCGTCCCTTGTCATCCCATCCCATCCACACTCCCTGGTTCCTTCTCCTCCTTCCGCCCCTACTCTCCCTTCCGCTCCGCTTCATTCCGCCGTTCCGTCTTGTCTCCCCCGCTTACCCTCCTCCGCGCCCCCATACCCCATACCCCGCCCACCTGCTCGTTTCCTTCCTTCCCTCCCGTCCCGTACCCCGTACCTCGTAACCTCACCTCTCCATCGTCCTCGTCACTCGTCCTCGTCGCTCGTCCTTGTCACTCGCATTCGCCCACCCCTCCTCCCTCCCTCCTTCCTTTTCCTTTTCCTCCCTCCATCCCTCTAGCCTGTCTCCCCCTCGCCTTCGCTCCCGCCTTCGTCCTTCGTCTTCGTCTTTTGTGGATGCGCCCTTCGTCCCCCTCGTCCTTCCTTTCTTCGTACCCCTTCGTCCACGTCCCTTCGTCCTCTTCCGCGCCCTCCGCCATCGTCGTTCCTTCGTCGCTCTCCGCCCGCTCCCGTGTCGTAGCTTCCTGCCCCTCTTCCCTCTTTTCGTCGTTGCGTCCCATCCATCTTTTCGCTCGTCCTCGCCCGCTCCTCTCCCCCGTCCTTCGTCCGTCCTTTCGTCCCTTCTTCCTTCGTCCCCTCCTTTCGCTCATCCCCCGTCCTTCGTCTCGCGTCCATCGTCCCGCTACTCGCACCCCTTTTCTCTCCTGCGCGTGGCGTCGGTGCGTGCGTGCGTGCGGAGCGTCAGGGATGCGTCGTGCGCGCGCGCGTGCGGCGGCCGTGGGCTGCGGGATACGTGTCCCAATGCGCGGATGCGCGAGCGCGAGCGCGTGAGTGGAGGCTGCGTGCGTCGTGTGTCTCTCGTGCGGAGAGTCGGGGATGCGTGCGCGCGTGCGTCTGGCGTCGGTGCCGCGGACTGCGGCCGTGGGGCCTTCGGGATACGTCCAGCGGCCGTGGTCTGCGGGATACGTGTCCCAATGCGCGTGGTCGGTGGGGGCGCACGTGCGTCTGGCGTCGTGCGTGCGTCTCTCGTGCAGCGTGCGTGCGGAGCGTCGGGGATGCGTCCATGTGGGCATGGTCTGCGGGATACATGTCCCAATGCGCATGGTCGGTGGGGGCGCGCATGCGTCTGGCGTCGTGCGTGCGTGCGGAGAGTCGGGGATGCGTCGTGCGTGCGGAGCGCGCGGCCTGCAGGATGCGTCTGCGGGATACGTGTCCCAAGGCGCAGGTGGGCGAGCGCGAGCGCTTGGGCGGAGGCTGCGTGCGTCTCTCGTGCAGCGGGATGCGGGATACGTGTCCCACTGCGCGTGGTCGGTGGGGGCGCACGTGCGTCTGGCGTCGTGCGTGCGTGCGGAGAGTCGGGGATGCGAGGGCGTCTCTCGTGCAGCGGGTATCCGTGCGAGACCGTGCGCCCGCCGTATCCTTGCAAGAGCGCGCGAGTCGGCGACGCCCGGGCTCGGGGAGTTATGCGCAGCGGCGGGCGGAGATGACCTCGAGGAGAGGTGGTCTGCGCAGGGCGAGTCGTGGACGTGGGCTGCGTATGCGCGGGGACGTCGGCTGGCTGCGCTCGTCGGGGTCGCGCGTGCTACTGGGCTCCCTGCGACCCGCCACCGCCGCGAGCTGCGTCTAGGGCCGAGGGCGCCTCGTGCCTCGCCTTGCGTCCGCCGCTCGTGTCGACATGCGTGTCGACGCAGTGCTGTCAGTCGTCGATGCTCGCCGCTCGCCTGCCACCGCACGCTCGCGCCACGTATGGCCCCTCCCCCTCGGATGCTTCCCCCTTCCTTCCTCCCTCATTTCTCCCCTCCGCTCCCCCTTCGCCCCCATTAAACCCCCTTTCCTCTCATACACTCACTCACCCACCCAACGGACACTAACCCCCCTCCTCCAGACACCTGGTCCCACCGCTACATGACCGCCTTCACGAACGAGGGCGCGTTCGGCGAGCTGTACTACACGCTGATGGCGATCAAGCTGGTGACGGGGGTGACGCCGACTTGTTGGCGGGTGAGTACGGGATTTATTATTTGTGGAGAGGGGGGGAGGGGGGCGGGGGGGGGGGACGGGGGAGACAGTGGGGAGAAGCGCGGGACGGGGGAGAGAAGAGCGGGGAGCAGCGGGTGGACGTGGCTGCGCCGCGTGTGTGGACGCGAGCGGCGGTGCGGGTGTGGACGCGAGCGGCGCACGGGTGTATGGGTGTGGCCCGTGGATGGGTGTCTGCGGAGAAGAGCGCGGGGTGCGGCGAGGTCGGCGGGCGGACCTGGGCGTTATCGATGCGGTGGGGGCGCGCGGGCCTTGTCGGTGCAGGCGCTGATGCGTCGA